AGTTAGGGTGCTGTGAATTAGACTTTTTTGTTCTATTAATTTTCAAGAATACAGTTCATATTGTGTGGTCTTTCTAACAAAACAAGCTCCTGTTTCACGTAATAAAATTTGGTTATAATCTTTAATACTATAATGTTGTTTAACTTTTAGATAAAATGTTAGCGAGTAACTACTAGAGTGCGCTACTTAAATACAGAAAAGTTCCCCTTTTTTCCTCTGACCTTTGTACTGAAACTCTGGTGCGGTTTTAGTGAACAGTTGTGGTGTGCATATTGTCTTTTAATGTCTTATACGACATCTTATAACGAGGCAGTTTGTTCAGTTGAGATCAAGTGTTTGTAGAGAATATCAAAACCTGCAGTCCATTTAACACATTTAGTCTTTTTTTTTCTTTTCCGCCTACAGTAAATATTGTAATTTTTTTGTTTGTTCTAACGCTAAAACTCCACGTGATGTCGCTCGAGACCGTGCAACAATCTGGTATTATACCTCCGACATTCATAGCAAACCCTCATACGTCACCATCTGCTTTTTTTTTTTTCCTTTGTGGGAACGCTCCACAGACGACCGAGGTTCTAAACGTGCGAGGATCGCTTTCAGAAACGGATACATGAATCCGTGTTTGTTTGTTTGTTTGTTTGTTTGTTTGTTTGTTTGTTTGTTTTTATGGATACAAAAAGAGGCTCGCATCATCTTTCATCCTGAACAACGATGGCTTCTCGGATAAAACGGAATTACACCGGGATTCTGTTTCTCGCGCTCCTTTGTCTCAGTGAGTGGTCCACGGCTCAGATATCCTACACGGTTTCAGAGGAGGTGGACAAAGGCGCAGCGGTGGGGAACCTTGCTAAGGATTTAAACCTGAGCGTGCAGCAGCTCCAAGCCACGGGTCTGCAGATTGCATCTGGATCTAAAAAGCGGTATTTTGACATCAATCTTGAATCAGGGACGCTGATTGTTAGCGACAGGATAAACCGGGAGGAGCTTTGCCCTAAATTGTTAAAGTGCTCTTTAAATATCGAGGCCGTACTGAGTAACCCTCGCAGCCTCCATCGAATAGAAGTATTGATAAATGATATTAATGACAACGCTCCGTATTTTCTTGAAGAAATAATTTTTGTTGATATGTATGAATCTTCACATGTTGGGGAGAAGCATCCACTCCCTGTGGCCTTTGACGCAGACGTGGGTTCTAACTCCATCAGAACCTACAAACTGAACCCAAACGAGTATTTTTCCTTGGATGTACAGAACACAGGCGACCAGAGTGTGTCTGCAGAATTAGTTCTGCAGAAAGCATTGGATCGAGAAACAGAGGCTGTTATTGAACTCATTCTGACAGCTGTGGATGGAGGAAAACCTCCTAAAACAGGAACGTTACAAATAAAAGTAAATGTGTTGGATGTAAACGACAACTCACCTTTGTTTAGCAAACCTTTGTACAAAGTCCAAGTGATGGAAAATGCAAATATTGGCGCAGTGTTATTAACTCTGACAGCTACGGATTTAGACGAGGGCGAAAACGGTCAGATAATGTATTCTTTCACAGAGAGGGGGCGTTTAAACACTGAAGAAAAATTTTCCATAAATAATAACTCTGGAGAAATATCAGTGAGAGGCAGTATTGATTATGAGGAAAATCAGGCCTTTGAGATCCGCGTACAGGCACGAGACAGGGGCACCCCTCCACGCAGCGCGCATGGCAAAGTTCTGGTCGAAGTCATTGATGTTAACGATAATGCTCCAGAAATTACAGTGTCATCTCTTATGAGTCCAGTAAAGGAAGACGCAGAAATAGGCACAGCTGTGGCCATGGTGACTATCACAGACAAAGATGGAGGTAAAAATGGCCTTACAAACTGTAAACTAAAGAGCTCAGTGCCATTTAAATTGAAATCTAATTATAAAAACTACTATTCGCTATTGGTGGACGGTCCTCTTGACAGAGAGAGTATTTCTGGGTATGAAATATTAATTGAAGCCACAGATGGGGGGACACCTCCTCTTTCTAGCACAGCTGTAATTACTATAAATATTTCTGATGTAAATGACAACCCTCCGCATTTCATAGACTCTCTGATTAACATTTATGTAAATGAGAACAGCCCGACTGGAACTACTATCCATACACTAACAACATTTGATTTGGATTTAGATGAAAACGCAAAATCAACATATCGTTTAATGAATGGTTCTCCTAAAAACATACAGACTACATCAATGATTACAGTTAATTCAGAAACTGGAGACATAATCAGTCTGCAATCTTTTAACTATGAGGAGCTAAAAACATTTCAGTTTAAAGTTCAGGCCACAGACTCTGGTGTTCCTCCGCTCAGCAGCAACGTGACTGTAAATGTTTTAATCCTGGATGAGAATGACAACAGTCCCACTATTCTGGCTCCTTATTCTGAGCTCGGTTCTGTTAACAGTGAGACCATCCCCTATTCTGCTGAGGCGGGATTTTTTGTGACAAAGATCAGGGCTGTGGACGCAGATTCTGGATACAATGCACTGCTTTCTTATCACCTGTCTGAGCCCAAAGGAAACAACCTGTTCAGGATCGGAACCAGCACCGGGGAGATCAGGACTAAGAGGAGAATGAGCGACAATGACCTGAAAACTCACCCCTTGGTGGTGCTGGTTTCTGATAATGGAGAACCTTCTCTGTCAGCTACTGTGTCTGTTGATGTGGTGGTGGTTGAAAGCTCAGCTGACATCCAGACTCCATTCAGACACGTGCCCATAAAGGAGGACAGCTTCTCTGATCTCAACCTGTATCTGCTGATCGCCATCGTGTCGGTGTCGGTGATCTTTCTGCTGAGTCTCATCAGTTTAATAGCTGTCAGATGCCACAGGACAGARGGCTCTTTCAGCAGGTACAGCGCCCCAATGATCACCACCCACCCTGACGGGAGCTGGTCTTACTCTAAAGCTACTCAGCAGTATGACGTGTGTTTCAGCTCAGACACACTGAAGAGTGACGTAGTGGTTTCCCCGCCCCGTTTCCACCTGTAGATGCTGAACTCATCAGTATTAACGGAGGAGACACTTTTACTAGAACTCAGACTTTACCTACATCAGAGAAGGTAAGCCGTGTAGTTTTGTTAAACTTTTTGTAAATCTATAGATGCTTTGTTACCTCATACTCCTAAAAGTCTGCTTTACAATTCGGATTTGTTGTTGTATTATAGATATATAGTGTTTACAGTACTTTTTTTCATTTAAAATTACAACGAATTGTGACTCAACAGCCTAAAATCATTGGATTAGTTCCACTTCACTGTCCATGGTGCTGAACTTGTGTTTTCAGTTCCTTATTTTCTGAAGTGCAATTGCCTTGTGTTTACATATGTGATTTCTTACATGAGCATCACAAGTGAAATATGCTTACTGACATTTTTAGATTGCAAATATTTTGTAAACTAATTGTATAATAAAATAATATGCCATTTATGTATTTTTTATTTTTAATTAGTACCTATACATTTCATGATAATAAAAAATAAAATATTAAAAATAATAATAACAATAATAATAGTGGAATATAATCTAAATAGCAGTATTGCCATTACTAATAATATTATTTAAGTATTTTACTTTTTTGTTTAGAAAATACCAGGTGTGCTTCTGTTCTGAAACTTAACGTTTATTTTTTTTATGAATCACTGGAGAGATCAGTTGTTTAATGTAGGATTTATGTCATACATTGAAATACTTGTATATGTTACATACTAGTATATGTTGGTACTTTGAAATAAACTCCACAGTCGACATGTATATGCCATATGAACTTTATATTTCATAGAACACTGACAAATGGCACATGGGTTTATTTAATTGTTTAAACACGAATTATCTGTGTACATGTGATAATTATTTTTGATAAAACTCTAATTTACCACGTGGTGTCACCCGAGACCATAGATCTGTTTCCTGCACCACGTCAAAAACTCCTCCTTGCACAGAAAACCGAAGCGCTCATTGGCCATGCGCCCACAGATCACATCTCATTGTGCTGTGGTGAGAAGAGCTGCCGCTGCCTTTATCAGTCGTGTTTCGGATGGATTTACATCAAACACTGGAATATCTCGAGGAGAAATAATTTCAGTGTTACGTTTTCATTATGGGAATCATTGACTATGCCGGGATCTGTTTTGTTTTGCTGCTTTGTCTCCGTGACTGCTCCTCCTCACAGTTGTCTTACTCCGTTTCCGAGGAGATGAACAAAGGAAGCGTGGTGGGGAACATCGTAAAGGATTTAAATCTGAATGTGCACGAGCTTGTATCCAGAGATCTGAGCATCGTCTCCAGCTACAGCAAGAAATATTTCGACGTGGATTTAAAGAGCGGAAATCTCTTTGTGAACGAGAGAATAGACAGAGAGGAGCTGTGCCCGAACGCGGCGCACTGCTCCCTGAGAATACAGGCGGTTTTAACCAACCCGATGACCGCACACCGCATTGAAATCAGTGTTTTGGATGTGAATGATAACTCGCCCGAGTTTATCACACATTCCTATGTGTTGAATATATCGGAATCAGTGTCTCCAGGAGAGCGATATCTTCTACCAATAGCAGAGGATGCAGACACAGGCAGCTACTCAGTGAGGAGCTACAAGCTGAATCAAAATGAACAGTTTTCTCTTGATGTACAAAGTGGAGGAGAACACGACCTGTCTCCTGAGCTGGTGCTTGAAAAATATTTAGACAGAGAGAAACAACCGATTATAAAACTCATTCTAATTGCTGTAGATGGAGGAAAACCTTCGAGGTCAGGTACTCTGCAGATAGATGTAAATGTTTTAGATGCAAATGATAATCCGCCAATGTTCAGCAAATCTATGTATAAAGTCAGAGTGAAAGAAAACACAAAATTAAATACGGTGTTAATAAAACTTAATGCAACTGATTTAGATGAAGGCATGAATGGTAAAATAATTTATTCTTTCATTAAACGAAGTAATTTTGATTTGTCAAATATTTTTGAAATTAAATCAGAAACAGGAACAATTATTTTGAAAAGTYGATTAGATTATGAAGAAACACGTGCTTATGAAATAAGAGTTCAAGCAAAAGATCAAGGAGCCTCACCACGCAGTACGCACGCTAAATTATTGATCGAGGTGATTGATGTGAATGATAATGCTCCAGAAATATCTGTAACGTCACTCATGACGCCAGTAAGAGAGGACGCGCAGCTGGGGACAATTGTTGCTTTAGTTACAGTCAGTGATAAAGATGGAGGGAACAATGGTGT